TTGTGTGATATAATAGTTCTTATATTTGAATTATGTGATTACAATTTATGTGATTTCTTGGGAAGAAAGCCCATGGGAAGTAATAATAATACACTGATTTAATGAGCATGAAGCAGGGGGAGAGGCATCTTCTCTGCCACTAATCCCCATGGCTAACTACTTTAGCAAATTTCTTAATCTACTTGTGAGTAAAATCTTTACTCACAGTGTCTTAATCTGAGAAATGTGGATAATGTTACTGGTCTTGTAGGATTATTGGGAAGAATAGCACAGAGGTAGACAACTTGGTTGGTGTATAATAGATGTTTGCTTAGCATTACTGTAAACTTATCCAAAACTTGCCATTTCTACTTTGGGGAAAGAGTCAACAAATTCAGAACCATACTCCATCACCTCTCCTATTAAAAGTTATCGGTGTACAACTTTTTGACTGCACTGAAGATCCTCATCCAGCTTCTTGAAGTGAATGTCATCAGATCAACTGCAATGTTTGAAGAGCCAAACTTCACAAATTCTCCATTTTTCTACTTATGACTCCAGAGAAATGCTAACCTTTTGTCTTAGAAAGTAGTTCTAGCTAGTCCAATGATCCTCAAGAAACAGACAATGATACAGAATTATGGGATAGGATTCCAGATTTCTGGTTTGAAATGCTTCTATATTTTCAAATCAGTATTAAGTTGAAAATGGCCATGTGGCTTTTAAGATTGCTACCCCATATAACATAAAGACATTTCTCAGCATTTTCTCCCATAGGTAGCTATCCCTTTGAATTTTCAGCTGTGGTTCTTGGCCCCAAAGCTCATATTTTTATTTTGATGGCAGTTTTTTTGCCAACTAAATATTTTTAATGCTAAAGTCTCCTACATTTCTCGTAAGAGACCCTTTCCGCAGTGAACCATTTCAGATGAGAGTTTCTTTTCCATTTCTGAGCATTTGTCTATAGTTTGAAGAACATAACTGAAGATAATTAACCCATTTATTAGGTAATATGGCCCCAATTGACTGTATTTGAGACATTTGCACATTTTACTCCTGAGAATAAAAGTGTGCTTAGATACAAAATTTTGCAATCAAACATTCCATCCTATACTCTGGATATTGTCAGAAATAACACATTTCTTGCACTTAAATCATAACAATGGCCAATAGAAATAAAAGTGACCAATCTCCAAATAACATTAATGTAACATAATGAATGTACTGAAGTATATTCATAGATTCCAAAATGGGAATTAGTAGCTACCTGCTTTCCATTTCAAATTAAAATATATTATACTCCATTTCAGCAAGATAGAGGTTATTAATATGATCAAAATGATCTGATTTAAATTTTACAAAACTTCAAGTAAGCAGGGACTCAAAGGCTAGACTCATAAAAAGTGAAAAAGAGGATAGATAATCAGATAAAAGCATTTCATCTCATATATCTTAATTCATGTGGTCATTAACTATAAAATTTTTTTTTCCTTTATGAGACAGTTGTTACTTAGACATAAAATATCCTTTTTCTGTGTAAAGCTTTTGTAATTCAGGTTCCTCAAGCATTAATAGAAATCAGAGAGGGAAACTGAACACAGAATGGCTCAGCAATTAATCATTCTGTGTCTTATTTCAAATTGTGTTATTCATTGGGAAAAAAAAAACCCCTCTACTTACTATGTTAAAGTTTCATACATTTTTCACTGTCTGCTATTGCATAAAATATTCAAAAAGCCCTTGGTATAATAAAATAGCTGTTATAAAACTTCTTTTGATGATGGATATTATAATCAAGATGCAAAAGAATATATTCTGCACCAGTTTCTAAAACTGTAAGTAACACAATCTTGAGAAACAACAACAAAAAGTATAATTTTTCAAGCTCATTACCCAATTTAAATCACTGACGCAACTTTTAGAAGAAGAATATGTGATAATTGTTACAAATATTAAAATAATTTTTACTAATGTTACACAAAACCTACTATAGTATTTCTGTATATTTCCATGGCACAGGGAAAGCTAAGGCACTTTTAACAACATCTATTGACCAAAATGGGCATTGGTGTGGCATATTTTGTTTTAAAATCAAAATAAACATTTTTTCCTGATAAAAATATACTTTGGGCATCCTTGTTATATTGGAATTTTAAAATGAGGGCTAAGTATCCTTTCCTGGACAGTTTCTGCATCCAGAACACCTTTCCTCTTCTACTTCCTCCTGACTCAATCTACTCACTCACCTCTCTGCATCTTCTATCTCCTTAAGCCAAAATTTCCTCTTTTCTAACATGACCTATTTCTTATTACTTCCCACTTATCAGCTACATCAGAGCAGTGTGTCCCAACCTCAGCACGATTGCCATTTGGAGACAGGTAATTTCTTATTGTCTGGGGCTGTCCTATGCACTATGGGATGTTTAGCAGCATCCCTGACCTCTACCCCCTAGATGCCAGTAACTGACCACCACTCCCAGATGTGACAACCAAATCTCTCCAGATGTTGCCAAATGTCCTCTGGGGAACAACATCACCTCTGCTTGAGAACCACCATATCAGAGCAACTTGTATACGTAAAGTCATATTCACCTTTGAATATATTCCTCACTGTACTGAATTTAGTTCAGAAGTGATGCTCAGTAATGGTTTGTTAAACATGTGCAGAATAAGAAGGTGTTTTAGTATTGTGGCACATTGCTAAAATGATAAACATGTTACTTTTATAAAATTGAACTCTCAGTTTCACACAAGAACTTAAGAATACTTCTATATCCATTTTGGATTTATTTTTGCAATGTTTGGGATAGAGAGAGAAAAGAAGACAGTGTTTTCCTAATATGATAGAACTCATTTCAACTCTGTGGTTCATAAATTTTCTAATGGGACTCAATTATTTATTCCTTTTCTTCCTTTCTTTCTTCTTTTATTTTTTCACGACTAGAGAAAGATGGCATCTAAATCTATTCCGAAAAGAGAACAAAAAAGGAGGAAAGCAGGGTAAAAATAGGAGAGAAAGGAGCAAGAAAAAATAGGGGGGGGGAAGAAAGAATAAATGATCAAGAGACAATGGATTTTTCCATATTTATAAACTCATTTATAAAAAAGTTGAATTTCAATAAAAATACTTTTTAAAAATATATTTTTCAACTTGAAAATAGCAAAAAATTCAATTAAAAGTCATGGACTTTTTCATTATATTTAATACTAGAGTTATTTTTTTTAACTCAGACAAAGAAAAATAGCAAAGAGAAAGAGATGAAAAAGGAAAATTTTTAAAAAAGAAAGGAAATGAAGAAAATGAAGGGGAGATTTTATGAAAATAAGAAAAATAAAACATGAATGCTTTAAAAAATACACTTAGATTTCTTAAGAATCACAGGATTTTTTTTAATACAACATATACATTGATTAAATAACACTTGAATAATGATCCAATGCAGTTTGAAATAATTTCTCTGAAGAGTATGAACTAGAAATTAAGGGACAAAAAAAAAAAATCTCTGTGTTGAATAATAAGGTAAATGAAAACATGTGAGTTTTTTCCAACTAATACTTATTTACAATTTGAATTTTATTAATCAGTTCTGTATTCTTGATATTTAAAAAAATATAGAAAAAGCCCAAGTAATGGAGAAAAATCTATTAAAGATATTTAGCCTTTATAACTGTAATCAAAGAGATGTAGATATGGTGGTTAAGAGCACAGAGTCTAGATCTAGGCTAGTTGAATTAGAATCTGCCTCCCCACTTTTTAGCCATGAGACCTTGGCTAGGTTTGAATTCTCTAAGAAGTAGAACCTGAGGCAAGCATTCAAGGGTAAGCTATAACCACCGTTTATTTGATATACTGGAATTACATTCATAAAGTTCAGAAAACTTTAGGGAGCATGGATTCAGGGAGCAACATTTTGAATATTTCTGTATCTCTTGAGCTCAACTCAAGTCTGTCATGAGCTCAACTCTTTTTCCCTTTCTGGAACTATCCAACAATATAGCCTGGGTTTTTATTCCATATGAAGAGGGATGTTTGTTTTGTAGTGTTTAATCGAATATATCAGAAAGCACAAACTGTTAAAGTATTAAAGTTAAACACCTACCTAGCACTTACCTTAGCATTGTCATCAATATATTTAGAAAAATTAATGTATCTATGAAGAAACACAGATAAGTCCAGAGTATTTTCACCACAGTTAAAACAAATTACCTGTATCTTCTCTTTTCTGGGAATCTTTTGTGAATGAAGACAGTGTCCTCGTTAATTTTTATTATTTATGTAGTATAATTATGTGTATTAGATCCTGGAGTTTGAGCCTGCATTTGGCTCTTTTTGACTCATATTGACATTTTCAATAATCTCTCAGAAAAGCGAGATCTTAAATGCATGTAAATCGCCAAAATATAATAAATCACAAAGCAATGTGAAAGAAAGATTTTTGAACAGAAATATCCTAGAAGCTTATGCAATAGGAACTTTGCCATATGAAATGTGAGTTTCAAATAAAATGCAAAGCCTGCCTCTTGGCCCATCTAAAAGAAAAACTTGGAGGTTTTCTCATATGAAATTAGGACAAAATAAGATTTCCCTTATGAAAATTCCAAAGCAGGAGATTTTACATTTGAATTCAGGATTTAGAAAATTATTATCATTTTTTTAGAAGTTACCAGGACCAGAAAACACTGAGTCTTTTGCACTAAATTCAAGAAAATATTATGGTCATGAATATTCAAAACTAGGTTATACTTAAAGTAGTTTTATGAAACTTAAAATTACCAACAAGAGTCAGCCATTCCTTATAGTTTTAGTATTAAATATATCCTAATCCTATTGAAATTATTTATAAAATTATAACTTATGAATGCTAAAAAGTATTGGTATGCTGTTAACTATAATCTTCCATTCTTAATGATACTTCAATTTACTATAGCAAAAATTAGTAATACTATTTATAATAATTCTGATGTTAAATTTTGGTTTAATGTTCAGTTTGGCTTATTCTTAGGTTAAATGTATTACTTACTCTGTGAGGTTTGAGTATCTATGAATTTCTTTATCAAGGCATCAGTAGTTTGGGTATAAAGACCCAGAGCATATCTCAGAGACTGAAGATCTGGGCTTTTCTCCAAGAAATTCTTTTTCAGGCCATTTCCTCCTGCATGAAAGTATTGCTAAAAAGAAAAAATAAAACAGCATTTAAGCAGAGATGTTTAGGAAGAAATATTAAAGGTAGGAATTTATTAGTCTAAAGGGAAACTCAAATGGAATAACATAGTATGATCGATATAAGTTAGGTACAAAGAAATAGTGCCACCATTTGCACATTGCTAAGTCATCGTCATCTAATTAAGGTTCCCTAGATATTTCTGAAGTCTACATAACTACATCATAGACCCAAGATCCTTAAATGTCTAACCCTTTTCCTCTCATTCAAAATTTAACTTAAATACTGCAGGAAGATGCAATAGTCAGAATCCTTATAGAATGACAGATTTAGGTATAATAAGATTTGTTGACTTGCTCATTGACTTCTATTTCCACAGCATGAGAAAAATACCTAGGGTTCTCAAAATTTTATGGAGAAGGTAGCCCCTGGGCATACATTTTCCAGATATTAGTTTGAGATTCTGGGCCAAGCCCCTGTTGCTCTATCTTCCTCAACCTCTAATCATACATATTGCAGATCTAGCCAACCTGATGTTTGGAGTGATCCCTAGAATCCAACACCCCTTGATACCTGTGCCTGATAAACATAAGAAAACATTGAGAGGTGTTTTTTGTTTGTTTGTTTGGTGTTTTTTTTTTGCTATTGCTGTCCAGAAAACTTGAAAATATTCTAATATTTATAAGTAAGGTAATAGAAAATATATATGTTCAATATGCTCATTGACAAATAAATATGATTACTGAGGAATGTTAGCATTTTTCACATTGCAGGTTTCTAAATACAGACATCTCTTTAAAAGGCATAATGTCTAGAAATATGTGATAGAATTGAAGATATTTTTTCCAACCATTCATAGATGATAATGTTTTTGTAATATTCTGTCAAGTCTAGATAAATGGTTTTCTTTTTCTCTTCCTGTGCCAACAATGCTAGAAACCAAACACACTGGTAACTGTGACTCATTGTGATCTACAATTCTCACAGAATGGAATATGTTGAAGAAGCACAAAGAATAATTCAGATACATTCTCCTAAATGGGTATGTGTCATCCTTTTAGCCTACTCTCCTTAAGACTTTCAAAAGTGGAAGAATTCAATGAATTAAAAAATCATAACTATCTCTGTTTTCTCCACTATTCAAGGGAAGATGCAGAAAAACATTCTGGGCATTTGCAAGCATCTGAGTGCATTTTCAAAGAGCAAAATGCAGAGGAGATTCAGGGTGTAGGCCAGAAAAAGTAGGAAACAGGGATATAAACTTCAGAAAACCTGCTACCATTGCAGACACTCTCTCCAAGGAGAAAAGCCCATGTTCATTTCAAATCCCATTTACTGATTCTACCCGGGTGCCCTGTGAAATTACAAATTGTGGCAAAAACTACAATGTGGTTATGAAGAGAAAGCATAAAAAAACCCGAGAAAGGCCTTTTCTTACTCTTTACAAGAAGACAAAGATATAACATTTAAAATTCTTCTACACCTTGATCTTTGTTGTAAAAATGTTAAAATATTTTTACATGCAGTCCAGAACTGTTTCAGATGCCTTGATGAATGAAAAACATATAATAGTTTCTTGTTTCAAGAAAGATGATATGATATTTAAGGGTAGAAAAAAAATAAATGGATGTACTGAGGTGAATATATGTCAATGTATTTAGTTTGGTCTTGACTCTGTATCACCTAGAAGAGTGGTGGGCTGCTCTCTGTAGGTCTGTTTACATCATAAACCAAGAAGCCATCTGAAGAAATAACTCATTCTGAGAGTAAAATGCAGTATTAGACACTGAACCCAGAGTATGAAGAGAACCAGAAGGGAAGACAATCTTCCTGTCAGTGTTTCTCAGGCAAGCCCCATGTTATGAAACCTGGGCATGAGTGCTGGATGACTGTAATAAAGGGGGAAGGGGAAACCAAAAATGGTAAAGGATTTTGCCTTCTATTGGGAAAAACAGGCAAAAAAGTCTACTGCTTATTCTGTCTACTGTACCCATCTGGCTTATTTCCACTTTTCATTGTTGTTGAGCTATTTAAAAACTCTGTAAATTGTGGAAAATAGATAATAATGCAAATAATATTTGGCCACAGAAATGCAAATTAATTATTTCTGGTGGGATGCAACTGATTATTGCTCTGTGCATAGATCTGTTTTGCCTATATTTGTAAACTTCAGCTTTTCTTATTGTTTATGTATGTGTGGCGCTTGGAATTCTCCATCTTACTTGTTTCCTCATTGATTGATGAATTAAATAACTTTTTTGACACATTTGATAATTGCATGAATATCACAATTATACCCTTTTAAAAGAACTGTTCTTTAACAGTGTATATAAAGTAGCATGGGTGGCAGCATTCATAAAGATGACTGTAGGTTTTATTGCCTAATATGGGAAGATAGGACGATGGACCTTCAATCACCTTCACGGCATCAGTGGATGTGTCTGCCTTCCTTCCTGTTCTCTCCCTCCCTCCTTTAACAAATATTTATTAAACCTATGTTATGAGCCAGACCCTGTGCTGCATGCCAATAATATAAAGCAAAAGAGGCACAGTGGTTGCTCTTAGAAGGATTGTAATCTAGTAGGAAATACACCAACATGTAAACAAATGACTCCAGAAATATATTGCAGGTTTTAGAAAAATGATTTGAAAATACATACAATGGGGGAAGCAAGTAATTCTGTTGTCTAGGGAGTCAGTAAAGACTTCCGAAGAAGTCATGTCTTTCGTGTTTATCAGCTTATCAGTTCTGTCATTTTTAACTGCAACGGCCACTAGAAAATCCACTATAGTGACTAGAGAAAGAAGATGATTACACTAAGTAACCAAGAGAACCCCTGGTCATCTCAGCATTACTTTAGAAGAATTGAGGCACATAAAGTATATTCCCCTTTGGTAGAGTTTAAAAAGTACTGTTTGCTACCGTTGTTTTTTTTCTCATTACTAAATTTGTGCTGTCCAAAAGCTCCAAGCTGCCTCTAGGCAGTAGAGGGCCTACGGAAGTTAAGAAGTGACATTGTACTCTTAAAGATTCACAATGCTTATTAACAAACACACTAACGGCTCTGAGGCCCACTGTGTTAAATCTGTTTAACCTTTTATTGATATACTTTGTTCCTAAAATTATTTGGCTATCGGATACCTAAATCACTAGACATCTATTGACGCTTCTGGGAATATAAGTGTTTCATAAACTATGATTTGGGACACCTTAGAGTAGAAGAATGTGACTGGCCTTGATATAACTGAAATATTTTTGAGGGTCTAGAAGGTTTTATGGAAAAAAAGGGAAAAGAGTTAAGCTACGAAGGCATAAACTATGTATTTGTCCTTGAATCCTTTACAATAACTGTATAGGAAGACATGTTTCTAATACTAAAGCATTATTTTGTGAGACTCTGGGACTTTGGAGACTAATCATGAAGTGAACCATAAATAAGGTATGACTTTGCTCCTGAGAAAAGCCCAAGGATCTCCCTAGAGTTTTAGATTATGAACTCAACTGACTTCTTCCTTTTTAGCTATAGAGTCTCATTCGTCATTCTACTAAAGGCTCTAGGTAGGATATTTAGTGAGCAGAAGATTTGTGATGGTGGAAATTAAGCCTTTGTCTTTTGGGAGCATTTTATAATAGATGTTGCAAGACAGAAACCCGCATAGAGGGTAGCAATGGCAGGAGAGAAAACAAATTGCAAGGTGCTAAGAACACAAACCTCCTGTTCAGTGGACACAGACAGACACAGGCCATAGGTTCTTCACTCAAACAGGGAAGGGAATTATTTCTACCCTTATGCAAACTCATGAGAATGCTACTTTATGGAAACCTTTTTCACACAGTGTTCAGAACACCTAAGAGCACTGGTCTGGTTTTCTCACTGGCTCAGATCAAGAGAAAGGAGGCTGCAGTTATTATATGGACTTTGGCATTAAAAGATCTTACATTTAGTTTTGACTCTTTGCAAGTAACCCTAAAGGAAGACGAAGGCAGAATTTGTACCTTGCTGAGGCTTGGGTTTGAAGGCTATAAATGTGTGGCGATGTGTAGGAGTAAACGTCTTAACTATCTCGCTAGCCACAGCTATTAAACAAAACCTACTATCCTCAGCTCAGGGCAGTTTAGTTGCTCTCCATTTATTTCAGTAAGCATTTTATAAGAGAATTATATGTTAGAGGGGAGTTTGTAAATGTGGGGTTTTAAAACCTTCTGGATGTCTCCTTTATGCATATGAAAAATGGGTTATTCTCCATTGCTTCTAAACAAAAGGACTCAGTCTCTTAGTGTTCCTCTGCAACTTGCACCATGATCTAAGAAATTCCAGTTTGGTCTGTTGCTCTACTAATGCTCTACTTAGATTGGTACAAATTGGTAGAAAATAACGGGCAAAAGCAAGTTGGTACAGGTCATTTCCTCCTCATTCAAAAAGAGAACTTTCAAGCTCTCAGTTGGAAGACCATGGAGAAGCTGGCTGTTTGTTTAATGCTATGAAGGACAAGGATGTCAGCTGGGTGACATTCTCTCTGCCCTTGGCCCTATCCTGGCTGACATTTTCCCTATGGGGCTAGAAAGACAAAGCCAGAAATTATGTTTGTCAAATATGCAGCTGAGCCAAAGTTTCAAGTGAGTACACTGAATGACGAAATTTGACTTTAGAAAGGTCTTAGTAGTTTGGAATGGTGGGCCAATATTTCCAGGATGAGATAGCAAAAAGAAAAGGAAAACTAGCCTGAATTCAGAATAAATAGTCAGGTTCATGTTTACTGCAAAGTACAGAATGAGGGTGACATGGCTCAACAATAGCAAAATTTTGAAAGTCATAAAGATTTATTTGCTTTCAAGTTCAACATGATTTAATAAGTAATGGGGCAGCTATCAAAGCTAGTGAAATCTGATCATGCATTAATATAGGTAGATAGGTCAAGACAAAGGCTGTGAAATAGCAAGAATATTCTCCACTGGTTAGAACATGTCTGGGATATTAAGTTCATTCTTGGGCTTCATCATTCATA